TTGTTCAATGGAGAACTGCGGAGCCCTAGATTTTGCCCACATCTTACAACTAAAGTAGTCTGCGTAAAGTTCTGATGCAGTGCTGCAAGCAGCGTGATTGTGGTGGACCTACTTTAGGCTTGAAACCATTTTCTCCCCTTATACCCCATATCAAGTTGGGTGGTACCATTATTACGATGAACACAATCATTCCCCAGCAAAGGTTCAAAGTAGTATGACTTGTGTGCGCAGCTTTTGTATCTAGGCCAGTTTCTCTAGGCGTATTTAAGGGCATCTACCCTAATCCGTTTGATCGTGCCTTACGAAAGCGATATGTATATTTCCTTTTATGACAAGGGATATGGCTTGAAAATTCTTCACACATCCCTTTGTGTTTATTTAACTTGCTTTCACAAAGAGCAAGATCGACTCATTCACTGCGTGGCCGTTAGTCCTCTAGCCGTAGGTGAAGTTGAATTAACATGGATAGTTAGGCATCGGCGAAGCTGCCATTAATAGAAAATTAGTTCCGTGACTCATCAGCCTGTCTAACCTCCGAAAGATAATGGACTTAGGGACTGATTATCTACGTAACCATACACTCTCTTGGAGAATAACACAGGAAGGTGGTGTGTCAGCGATTTTCAAGGGAATGTGTATTTCAGAGCACAATATTTATGGAGATGTTATTTTATCTGACCACTTTTGGACTGGCGACCTATTTCCCGAAGTATTTGTTCAGGTAATGAGCTGGAAATTGAATGAATTCATAAATACTTCACATCCATTCAGTTTGGGATGAAAACAAGCTAAAATAAATCCTGTATTATTTTTAAAGGTTCTGCACAAATTGAAATTTTCAGATGATGAGGAACTTGAACTCTTGTGGGGGTTATAGTTTATTTGACTTGGTGTGCGCCACTGAGAATAAAACCGATTGATAGACACGATTTGTTAACTAACCGTCCCAATAAATTCATCAGAGAGCCAGTGACTAACATCGTCTATAAGGTTATAGGACGGGACATGATGCTGAACGTGGACCTTGTTAGCTTTGTGTTGGGTCATCAACTCGAGGTAGCCTAGTCAAACACGCAAAAGAGCACCCGTTATACAATACGGTGAGAAAGGGAAGAAACACTGAATAGCATGGAGACGGCCATTCACGTTACCCTCCAGTATTCTGTAATTACTGACAGTCGACTGAGCGATCCCAACGCTTATAATACCTGTGAGATCTGGGTACCACACATCGGGCCACTTTGGAAGCGTCTTCTCTAAGAGTGCCTGTTTCATTCGCTCCTCTTTTAATTCTAAATACAGCGTTTTCATTTGAGTACATCTGGTGATATACCGCACAAGATATCGCTTCCAACATTAGGTGGCGTTTTGTGTTTTGACAAGCATCGAACCACTCACATGCTTTCTTAGTTCAGCCTCAGGCAGATATTCGCCAAGAAGTTCACTCCAACTTGATTACATTTTAAAATCCATCTCGGATATCTGCCACGTAGTTATAACGAAACACACTCAGATGACTTGTAGTAGGCAACAACACATGAAAGCCATCCTGGCACGTTTCTAAACGTTGATTCACATTCATATGAATCTAGATGAGCTCCATTCAGGATAAACCCATACCCTAACATTCGCTGGCTATCTAACTCAATGTCTTGAAGCAGTAGTCCCAAAGTGTATGTCAATGACTGTCAAGGAGCTTAGCCCTAAGTTCCTACTGTAACGAAGACGCTCCGAACCGATAATTACTACGTACTTTTCTCAACTTTGACGCCAAAAAACCAGTACTCGTTTGAAAGTTTCATAGTTTGGCAATTAAAGAAGAGATAATTACAACTGTATAAACAAATGTTTTATACAAAATATAACGTACTTTTATTCGTATTCTTTCGTCTTCTTCGAACTTGTACACGATTGAGCCATTCACGCCTTCGAGTTACCCACCAGTGGCTACCAGTTCTAATAAACAAACGTTCAGTGTTCACGTCCACTGACAATGACAGTATCGGGAAATTTTATGTGGTCAGGAGGCAACTCTGTGGAATACAGAATACTATTTTACGCATATAATCACTAGTTGGATTTCAATGCAAGTGGTATTAGAATACAGGCGATAAGTCGAATATTTATTGGTCAACTAAGCACAGGCCAAAATAGCAGGTTGATTACACAGCAGCTTGGCAATGTGATTCACAGTTTGTTACTATAAACACATTAAAAATTATGCAAATGACGCCACTATAGTTGTCAATGTAGTTGAAGATTGAACGATCAATTCATAGTTGTTTGCTCAAACCCAACTTCCACATAATTTTCGCGGGTCATCAATCCGACAGTCAACGTCTCATCGTTCGCTGTACAGAAGGAAGATTAAAAACTATAAGAAACCTTCTGTAATAACATTATTGTTGCTTATATGTTGGCGTAAGAATAAAGAATTCTTCAGTCGCCAATCAGGGTTTTGGTTTTTGCTTTGGTTAATACGAAGCGTTTCTGAAAGTCTTCGAGGGACAGCGTTAGCTCCAGCGTGGCAAGAGCTGGATATTGACAGGTTATGAGAACTGACTGACGGTTTCTGGTAGTGTCTGGATAGATTTCGTTCGTTTTTCCTGGTGCCGACCAAGTCTATTTGAACAAGTGTTATCGGAAACTTTTCTCGAATTTCGGTCAAGTTCAATGATGCCCGGGTCAGAGAAGGAACAGAGCGGCTTAGAGGCTAGCAGGAAAGTAAATGATGCCGAATTGTTTCATAAATGTAATGATATGTAAGTTGATAAGCATGAAGAGTCTGTTGTTAATGTTTCGGACTCTAGGGATATTCATTCCAAATTTGAACATCGGTGTTTCGATGGAAACCAAGCTGACTACTTACAGTTTGTAAAGGAGTTTGAAATCATGTTGAGTAGTTTTTTATTAAATGATGAAATGAAGTTGATGTATTTGTTGAAGTTTTGCACTGGAGTTGCTTCAAGAGCTATACAGCGCTGTAAGTTCATGAAGCCAAACGAAGGATACTCTGAGGCTATGAGTATACTGCGTCAAAGATTCGGAAGACCTTCGATGATTGTAAGGAACCTATTCGAGGCTGTTAAAGGTAATGGTAGTCAATTACAAGATGACTTCGAGGCACTATCTAAGTTATTGGATAATCTGATGACTTACAAGAATGGAATGATTTCGATGAATTGCATGAGTGATCTGAACTCAAGTTCCGTCCTAGAGATAATAGCGAGACGCCTACCTACTCGACTGCATGGAAGGTGGTTGATAATGGAAGAATATTGGATATATCTTTATTTTTTATCTTGGCTGAACTGCCTAACCACTTAGAAACAACAGTCTGTCTTCTTCAATCAGATAGCACTTCAGAACGCATCCACAGACTGCTGAGGGCTACACTGCTATCCTTGGGCACCCTGGATTGATCTATGTTAATGCTCTCCATTTTTCGAGGGATATTAAACATGCTGGACATATTGTGAAGGGAAAACACAGACTGACATTCCAGTTTGTTCCACCCTACTTGCGACCATATAGTGTCGTATAACGTACGAGAGAGTCGCTGGTTTTAGATGAAAGCGACCACGGAGACTAAACGAGTACCGTTTTTCTGAAACCAGGATTTCTTAAGGATAGTCCTATTCATCTAGACCTAGTCGTCCCACGTAAAATCACGCCGACGAAATGCATCATAGTACCTAGTGTTAGACAACACCACAAATGTAACGGTAGGCCGCATTTAGACCAAGCCTGTCTCATTTTATAAAAGAAAACCTCTGCCGAAGACACGTTTATACGTCGTCAATTGTCGATTTTTCCCTATGTACCACGCCTCATATGCACTGTGTTCACTGTTCCACGAAGTAAATATTTTTCCATGTTCCTCCGTTTTCGCTCTGCGTATGTATGTACAAATCCAACCGATTTTGACGTTCTCTTCTCTATGAGCTCACTAGCTTTCCTCTTTTCTCCTCCAAGTGCAAGCAGGACTGAATGGGCGCAAACAAAGCTCAAGAACAAACGGATGAACGTATGATGAATTTTTGGAGAGGAGAATCGGAGGTTGTCATGCTGCCATCGTACCATTCAGAAGAGTTTTACTAGTTTTGCCACCATTCGATTTTGCACCCGGTTGGAGTCATCTCTGGGTTTTCATGATACGATTAAGCAGTAAGCTTTAGTGATAAGTGATCATTGGAATCAATACAGTGTACTGGCTTCCGCTGTTTGGGTCAGCTTGTTAGGCTGAGGGTAAGTAGTGAAGTATCTACTCCATTTGGCTTTCTGTCACTTTATGTTTGGATGCTGGTGCGCGGACCCTTAGGCACGTTTAACTACTCAACAGAGATAATCCTGAAATAAAACCCGTATTTTAGACCATCCAACTGTTGTTCTGTTTTGGTTCACTAAGTTTTCTCTCGCCTACGTCAAATAAGCACACTGAAGGTTGGAGGATAATATACATTTACAGTCATATAGTTGTATTTTTCGTGCTGGTTGGAACTTTCATGCACATTAGGGGTGATCACAACAATCATAACACAAATAAGAAACCTAACAAAACATCATCTACTATCACGGTCTGCCAGAGGTGTCGATAGAATAGTGAAAGTGACTACTCACTTGTCCACTAGAGATTAGGAAATTCTTTCCACCAATAATGGGCGTCGGTGGCACAGTGGTTAGGACTCCCGCCGACCATGCACATGGTCCGGGGTTTGATCCTCTGCCGAAGCACATCTGATATCTATGGTCGGCCTGCAAAATTTGGGCTACCGATATCACAAGCTGAAAATTCCATATTTGTACCGAAAATACGGTGTCGAATAAGGCTGTAATAAAAAAATGAAGCTCGTATTGTCATTTCGACTCATACCAACACTTGTAAGGAGATATTTGAATATCGGTGTCCTGATTTCATCACAGAAATAGTTCAATACGTCTGTACACTCTAGAGATATTTGGGACGATATCCCCAAAAGTAATTTAATATTTAGCATAACCCGCGACTTTTCGACTCAAGGTTACGGTAGATGATTGGTTAGTCTCCCAGATGGTGCAGTTGGCACCAGGAGCAAAGCTTCTCCAGCGATGCCTTCCACCATTAAATTCCAAAACGTAACCTTTATTAAAATTCATTCTTACATTTCAGTGGTCGTGTGCATATATTCTTCTTCACGTTGGTTATCTACACATGTTACCATCTCTCCCGAAAACCGATTAGTATTGTGAAATCTGTACTTCATAAAAACTGTTCTGATGAGGCCAATAGGGAGGGAAAAATTATAGTTCCCGATAATGAAACGTTTTGTGACTGGGCACCATTTGGTAGGCTTAACCGTATTGATAAACTTTATATCACCTTGATTGCTTAATAGATGGCAAAAATTATGACTCCCTTTTCGGGACACTTGACCTTATCTTTCTTTCCTGCTATGCGGCTAGCATGTTTGTAAGGTGAGTGTACAATTGTATGTAGAAGACAAAAGGAACTGTTTTTGTTCATGTTTTTTGGTTGAAGCATATTAAATCTTGGAATCCGTTGTTTTCATTTATTATATTAAAATCCACTAGCTTTTTGTCGTCAGTTGCAGGGCTTTGCTTTTTGTATATATTAATAACCCCATTTACTTGATTGTCTACTGCTCAGTAGTACCGGATCAAACACACTGGTCAGTTTGTATTTAATCGGTAGATAGAATAGTTTTCGATACTTTCTTACTAAAAATTCATTTAGAAGTTAGACGAGAGTGGAAACGAGAATTCAAAGTATAATGTTAAAAGTGAGTTAAGTTATTTTGTGTACTCACAATAGCATATCAATGCAATCCTTAGAGCTCCGTGTCTTGTCATTCTAGCTGACTGATTGTGACAGTTTCGACACAAGATTTTACAGATGTATGGCAGTTCAAGTTGACACACTTCATGTAGCACACAAAGGTAGACAAATGGGAGAAAAAAGACTTTCGGAAGGATTATAATAATCAGAGATGTGTGAGAGAAAAAATAGCAACATGAGAGAACCCTGATGGTCTAGGAGGTCACAAAGAATGAAAGTGATTTCGAGTTATGTCATCAACAGTTTCAAACGATTCTTTCTTAACATCTCAACGACCCAAAGTTGGAAGTCTACACCTTCCAATGTGACTAGCTCAAAGCTACATTGGAACTCATGTTCATTCATTGTCATTCTGCTGGAATATAAACATTTCGGCCAGCACACTTTTTTATTGTAAATTGAACTTAATTGAAGACTATACTATGTGTTTGAAGTGATAAGATTTATATTTCAGCCATCAGTGACATGCATCATCGGCCAGTTATAGTTGTGTGTAAACATTCACTTACTTAATATTGCTTAATTTTATTACTTCACACTTACTTAAAGTTTCTAAGTGCTTTCATAATTGACACTCCTCTCGCAACGTAAAATATACATTTTTCCAGTGTTTAATCTTTTCTTCGTTTACAATTGTATGTAATCATACCTTAGTTTGTTATAATTCATCATAAAGTTTTTGCAAAATAAATTATGATCTCTGAGTTTAAATCCCCTGTATCTGATTGAAAAGGGATTTAAAACAACAGGCGGGATTCCAGGAAATTGACATTACATTATCTGTATTTTGTAGAGGCTTTTGCCCTCGATAACTTTAGGCCTTCTACAGTTTCCCCATGACACTATAGAATGTCATCATATGACGACCAGTTGATTTCATCACGTTGAGTAAAATTTTTCGTATAGTTCAGTTGTGTTTATGATGTTTTCTAGTACAGTAGTCATACATTCAGGGTGTTCTGCTGAACTAGTTTAAGCCTATTTCCATATGTGACACAAATGGAAGTAATGTGTTAAGACTACACTTTATATTTGTGTTTATCTATGGTAATGTTGGCATTTCCAAAAGTTGCATTCAAATACCGATGGAAGAACGATGTTTTGCATACTTATTTAAACTGATTAGAACAGTTATCCGTATTTAATAAACTGTAAAACTGAATAATTTAGAAGCTAAGGATTTAGTTTCACACTTTTCTGTGAATGTCCTTGATTTAAACGCCTAAACTCCATGCAGTATGATGCGATCTTGAATCTAGTCCAACTGAGTTAGCAGACATCATGGAAACCTCATGTATTTAAGCATGGTTGATAGCCTGGGACACAAATATGTACCGGATGACCTTGCTCAGTAATTATTCATTTGAATAAAGCAAGAACAACAATAGTGTTTGCAGAATAAAATGGTATCATCATTTATTTCGTTGGCTTCTCATCAACTGCTTACAGCTCGAAATCATTAAGTATATCTACAGAATCAATTTTAACATGCTTACACAGAGTTCATTTTCGAACAAAAACCACTTAATATATGCTAAAATAATAACATATATTATAATAATAAACACTTTATTCGAAACAATATTGATCACACAATAGAAACTTTCGACAGTACGTAATCAGATGAAAGAGAGGGTGAAAATATCCAGTTACCTGGGCAAAAAAAGACTAACAACTGCTTCTTTCTGAAAAGCATAAATCAGGTTTCAGGCGTTTGATGAAGATCGTTTCAGCAAACTTAAGGAGAATTGAACTCTTCTGATTATTGATAATTTTGAACGATCGTGTGATGTCCACCTTATGACCTGTGTCAAGGAGATGTCTGGTAGTGACACTGTTTACAGCACTTGTTCCCTTTAGACATAGGCTTTTCAGTACATGTTCTTTCAATGTAACTGCTCCCGCAAATGCATGTAAATTTGTATGTACAGTTGGAGTTAACATGAGAAAGATATCTATCGATTTTTGATTGCATAAAAGAGCAAGTTGTTTTTTATCACGCTCTTCAACTAGAGGTCTCAGTTGCCAAAAATATTACTTAAGTTCACTTTAGTTAGATTACATCGGAACAAATTTTAAAAGTTGTAGGTAAAATCTGTGTGTGAAAGAAATGGGATTTAGAAATTTTACAGTGTGACAAACGTATTCGTTCACCTCTTTTTCGACTTTTAGAACTTATAGTTTCATTTGTCTATTTCTGTGCTTTAGGTATGTACATAAAGTCATTGTTTATACACGTCCAAATACATATTTTGATCGTTTGTTTTTTTTTTCACACGCTTACATTAAATTTTACATTAGTGGACATGTTGCAGATAAAATCGACCTGAGGATATACTTGTGTATTGGTACATTTTTATCGGGTATAACAACAATTGCTTTTGGACTTGGATATTTCTTTAATATTCACTCATTCGCCTATTATGCGATTGTTCAAGTAAGCATTTAACTTTGTTATAATCTTAATTACATTTTAAATTTATGGAATTATTCGTTTTGAAAATCAGATGTTCATTTGTGGATCTCTGCTAACTATTATTACTATTTTTGCTAAATTCATGAACGTTAATACTAATACTAATAATAGTGATAATAATAAAGGCTTCATTCCAAACAGTACGTTTCATGATACAATATAGAATTTTCAGCACGTAGTACAATATCGCATCTAATTTCCGCTTTATAATACATAGTAAGATGACTCAAAATCGTTCTCAACTGTGACGATGCAATCACCTTCTGTGATCTGCCATATCTACAGAAAATTCCATCGGTTTTCCATGTTACTATGCTTTCCCCCTCACATTCCTGGTTATTATCGTTCTTCTGAAATTTGTTTCTTTTGTCTTCCTTTGTGTCCTTCATGAAGTGTGTCATAAGAAAGTGACAGGTAGTTCAATACTGCCACCTCATCTCGTCGATACGGGACATTAAAAAAGCTTTTACTAATTTTAGTCACTGTATTCAGGTGTTGATTTGCAGGGATTTGGTTAGTTACAAGACTTTACCATGAGCTGACATCGGTTAGAAAGTCATTGGAAAATCAGCGCTCAAGTACTGGAAAGTTATACTGGAAGGTTGTTTCGTCAGCCTAGTTCGAGACTGCACCCACCTCCAGGGTCCGAACCCAGGACCATCCGGGTACAAGGCGAGCTCTTTGGTCATTAAGACACTGGCCCCAGTCAATTCAACGATCAGCCCATGGATCCCAACTTCCGCCAACTCACGAACCCCGGTGGGTGCCTACGGATTAAGAGTCCCGAAATAAGGCGAAAAAACTGTCCAGTACTCCCAGGTTAGTCACCGTATTTCACCCAACCTTTAGCATACTCTACGAGTACCACTTTTACACACGACAGATGTAATTGGAATTCATCTGAACTAGCCAAATTCGTGTTGCCTCTTTCTTTGTCGTGGTCATCCACATAATATGTATGCATAGAGTCATACAAATGTGATTCTCCTCTATCCTTGTATCTGTAATTTGACTTTGGTATCTTATTTTACAATTTCGGTGTACTTTGGACGCAAAACTATATATATATAGGAGTATATAGCAGTTGATGGATGAGGAACTAAGCGACTTCAACACTACACACCCATGCCCCCACCAGGATCGGAGCCCACCCAGGACCTTCAGGTTTACAAGTTAACCTCGGACACCCATCCACCAAGTTGGATGTGAGGACCAGATAGTCAGCGATGAAATTAACTGGCGATCACGACACTGTACATTGCGTATTGGAGGAAGTTATAATTGATGTGACCTTGGATTCTGTGTCTCAGTGGCTATATCACATAGAAACTCCTGGATTAAAGCCGTGTGCATGTACTAATAAAGAGACCCAAACTAACAGTTTGATGACACTTGGAGAGATTTAGTTTAAAACAAGTCGACAAGAACTACTGGTTTATTTCTGGTAAAAAGTTATTTATATTCTCTTCTGTTACTTAATTTAATATTCCGTATTAAGGGGTGAAAGACAAGCATGCGGTAGGTGAAGCTCATAACTCTCTCTCTCCCCTCTCCCCAATAGCCCTACTCACTACTGTAGTCTCAGACGTCACTACAATGTTATTCAGATTGTGACTGACCTATTGTGATCTACCACTGATGAGGAATAAATGTCATATTATGAAATATAATTTGAAATCCATTCCTATGACAAGCCTGTTAACTTAGTGATCACACTTGAAACTTGATCAATAAAGAATTTTGGTTATATAATGAATGATCAGTAAGCAACATGATAATCTGTACTGAATCAGCAAACTGTTTAGTTCAAATAATCTCAGCATCTCTTTTTTTTGTAAAACAAAATCAAGACTAATTCATGCATTAACACATTTTATTAACTTGATTTAGGGTCTTGGTGGAATTGTACAAGCGACTGGTTGGCCAGCTGTTGTCGCTTGTATGGGAAATTGGTTTGGTAAAAATAAGTAAGCAAAAACAAAATTTTTCTGTGTAAATAATAAATATTTTCCTGACAACTATTCATAGGTGAAATAGTGTTTGTAATGCTGAATTATTATTACTATTATTATTTTCATATATATATATATATATATATATATATATATATATATATATATATCAGCCAACGATATATTAGAAACGAGAAAATTACTGACTTCCGTGGTGCGTATATTGTAGTTATTGTAATAATTGTAATGGGTAATTATAATTTGTTTATACGAGTTTGACCACGGATTGAAATCAGTTAGGGAGGACCATTGAAAACCAGCCAGCAAGTACTGGACAGCTGTTTCGTCAGACTGCCAGGGTTCGAGCCCAGAACCTTCCGGTTACAAGGCCAGCTAGCTCGTATACCATTCAGCCATTGGCACCAGACTCCTCAATGTACAGCCTATGAATTCTAACTTGACTTGCTACAGGACAGGGTTTCCTGGGGCAGTTCTAGTGAAAAGTCATGACCAGTGAAGTCCATCCAGTAGTCGGCAGTGAGGATGGAGTTCGCATCAATGACATTGGTTAGTGCCAGTCGATCTAAATCACAAATTGGTAGAAGTTAGACATCATTGGCTGTGCATTGAGGAGTCGGATCCCAGAGGCTGAATGGTGTACGAGCTTGGTTGCTGTGTAACCGGAAGGTCCTGGGTTCGAACCCTGGCAGTGGGTGCATACTTCCAATGGTTCCCAAACTAGGCTGACGAAACAGTTGGCTGTCCAGTACTCCCTGGCTGGTTTTCAATGATTCTATCTAAGTGATATTAATCCGTGACCGAACTCATATAAACAAATCTAATCCTTACAAACCAAACTCTCGGTAATTATAATTTTCAATAAACCAGTCCCAGTAAACCAAGATACAACTGGAATTCGTAAAATGGATTCTCAACTCTAATTATTAACACAGTTGAGTTGGTGAGAACACCGAGACTCGAATACGTACTAAGAACATAATGTTCAGCAAAGGGAGACTCTTGTCAACGAATTTTTTATCAGGCTGTGCAGTCGTATACATATAACTACAGGCGGAACTGATGAAGATATCAAAGCGAGGATCGAGAAAGCAAGGCAAGCTTTCATTACTCTCAAGTCTGTGTGGAGATCAACAGTACTACTCAGCATGAAAAATAGGATCCGGATTTTCAACTCCAGTGTGAAGTCAGTGCTACTTGCTATACGTATCAGAGGCTTGGCGCAGCGTCAGGAAGGGCACTTCAAAAAAGCTACAGATCTTCATCAACAGCTGTCTTCGCTCAGTACTACTCAAGATCAGATCGCCGGCCAGAAAAGATCAGAAACAGGGATCTCTGGGAGTAAACCAACCAGCCCAGCAGGAACCAATCATGCAACAAATATGCAGGAAGAAATAGAGGTGAATTGTGGCCGTACTCTGAGAAAAAACCCATCAAGTGACATCACACGCCAGATCATTGGTCGAGTGGGACATGAATGGGAGACGGCCAGTTGGTTGTCAGTGCGAGGATGTCATGGAGGAGGTCATGAAAAGACGAGATGAAATCATGTGGGAGACGTGGAGCCAGGTGATGAAAACGTTGGCAGAGAACCAAACGCAGTGGAGACCTTCGGCTGAGGCTCGATGTTCCTTTAGGAACTAAAGGAAACATACATATATATCGCTTTTGGTCTCTTGTCCACTAATGTTCGTAGTTGTCTGTAGAATTCTTCCTTCTTCTCCACTAGGTTTGCGTTGTTTATAGGCGTGTAGGATTGGATGATTATAACTTTCCTACCTTTTTAATTGAATCTTTCTGTTATTATCTAGGAGAGGATTGCTTCCCACTGCATTATGCGGTTTGATTGCTGTTGACGTGCTCAGAGTGACTCTCCAGTCAACAATTTGAAGATTCCAGTTCCATTCCATCTCCTCTCAACAAAATTCTAATACTTCTATACCATATCATCGTTTTGTGCGTCGGTGGTATAGCGGTTAGGCCGCTCGCCGACCATGCACATGGTCCGGGGTTCGATCCCCGGCCGACACACTCATTTACCTCGCCAAGCCAGAAATAATGCTGGTAAAGAGGAAAGGTTGGGCATGAGGCTACAACCCCATCCTGTAAAAATAAACACTGCTACAGAAACTTCAAGCAACTAACTTGAAGCCCTATGTTCCACTGGGTAACGTGAAGGAAAAAAAATATCATCGTTTCATTGGAAACTGGACAGTCATCGCAGTTTTAAACATTGTGTGGACATTTTATGTCCCTGTGGTTATTTTTAGTTTCATTGGAAGCAGACACATCGGCTGACTAAATGGCTTCCAGAAGGCGTTCGTAAGCCTGTGTCATCCAGTCTACCCAATTTCAGCGAAAGAATAACTTTATGTTTTATTATTTCTGCGCTTTGGAGAGTCTGTACCGCCGATTGGGTGTTTATTTTTCGTGGTAAACTTGCTAGCCTCATGCCCAGCCTTCCATCTTTTTCCGGACTTAGGATTGGCTAGTAAACTAGGGGAGTTCTTTTCAGGATTTTGCTCTCGCCCAGGAATCGAAAACTGGCAAGCATCCTACCATTCAGTCACTGAGATACACATATATATGTCTATATTAATATGTTAGTATGCTTTGAATTTATACCTTTTATTTTACACAGAACCGCTTCATCCTTGGTTTTTTTTTCTCTTTGACAATTTTTAGACGAGGATTTTTTATGGGTGTATGGACAGCGCATGCAAGTATTGGAAATATTTTGGGCTCTTTAGTTGCTGGTGCATTTGTTGAAACCGCTTGGGGTTGGTCATTCGTTGTCCCTGGATTAATAGTTGGCTTATTGAGTATACCGATATACTTATTTCTTGTACCATGTAAGTTTTTGTGTTTTCCACAATCTGACCCCCCGCCCCCCCTTGCCAAACCGATTCTTATGAGAAATCTGATGTATTTTAATGTCATCTAAACTGGTGACAACTGGTGCTGCCTGTCAAGGATGCCCACTACCTCTGTGCTAATGGACTTAACCCTAAGTGACTTCAGCGACTCAGGTATTGACTTGTTACCATCAGGGAATAATCTGGTTGACTTAGAATATTTAGATGATATAGTCGTTTTAGGTGAAGACGCTGACAAAATACATAATCTTCTGAACGCCTTGAGATGCAATCTGTGAATGTTTCGCCTGTTATTCGCTCCCGCCAAATGTAAGATGATGCTGCAGGACTGGACTACATCGACTCCTAGCTTAGAAATAGCAAGTGAAGTGGCAGAGCGTGATGACCACTTCACTTATTTGGGAAGTTGAATCAGCTCAACCAAAGCCAGCGGGTTGATCGCTGACAAAATTTCAACACGGATACAGAAAACTAGTCTCGCATATGTCAGTTTATACCGTCTCTGGCTTAGTACACGCGGCATCCGGCGGAGTGTCGACCAAAGGACGTGTGTACAGCTCAAAAGTCCCCTCCGTCCTCATTTATGGCTGTGAGACCTGGCTATTGAGAGTGGAAGACATGAAAAGGCTGACTAACTGTCTTTGATCATAGGTGCCTGCATTCTATTTCCTGTGTGTGTTAAGTGGTATAATATGGTGAGCAATATTGAGGTTAGGTGTCGAGTGCTGGGTAGGTAGGAGGGGGGATCAATAGACGAGGTTGTGAAGCAAATGCATCTGTCAAAGTGGTTAGGACATGTGTTACGCATTCATGCCTTGCTATCACCTTCCTCGACAACAGGGAATGTTAGCTGACTGATATAGGGTCTGGTTGGAAAAGAGAAGGCTAGTGGTGGTCAAATGAAAACATGACCTCATCAGCCAATAAAATCCACAACAGTTAGTTTAAACCACATAGGAAGGTGTAAACTGGCTGGCTGGTTGGAATCCTCAGGATGGTAAAAACCAATGAACGCTGGAGACAGTGGGTGATATGTGGCTAGCTCAAAATCGTTCTCAATGGCTAGTGCAGATGCATCCACTCCTTGTGACTTATAATATCCAATAAAACTATATTGTTCTTCGATTTTACTATTCTTTTTGTGCCTCACATCTCTGTTTACTGTCTCTATTTTCCGTTTCTTTTTACTTTCTTCTCTTGCTTTGTGTGCTTAGTAAAGTGTAGCGACTCGAACTGCTGCATATCGGTGAAAATTTCTATGTTGAAACTAGTCAGTCCAGTCAGTCAATGCATACACTCACCTTTTGGGTGTTTAATTTGTTCCTGTGCATGTATTCGTGTGTGTGTGTGTGTATGTGTGTGTGCAGATAATATTGTCGTTCAGTTAAATGACAAAGGAATTAATTATACGGCGTTAAATAAGAGTGAAATAATAATCATTTCACCTTAAAATTTTAATACTTGACCTTAGATTTTCTCAACAGATGAAATAGGATTATTTCCTATGAGTGTGAGTATATGATTAAGTTGGATTTTTAGTTAGGCTTTACGGCCAATAAATCACATTAAGAGGTGTATATATTATCAGGGGATTAGGAATATTACTCCTTAAGGGAAACTCTACTCAGATCATTTTCATATAAACAGTTCAGTTGATCAGAATTTAATTGGTGGATGGTGACTAGAAGTGGAATCCAGGATGCGCATTTCGTCCCATTCGAGACTTGTCATTGGATGCACCTGCATTCCACAGTGAGTGATGATGTTCCCACTGAGGCTTGAACCCAGTGTCTATAGTTTCAAACGCCAAAGCGTTATCCATTAGACCACTGGAGAATGCAGGTACATCCAGCTGAAGGACGAGTTTCAAATAGGACGAAATGCGCGTTATCCTGGATTCCACTGCTAGTCACCATTCATTAATTAAATCCTAATTCCATGCCCAGACATCCTCGAAGTATCTGCACAAGAAGCCGACATGTCAACCTGAGACCGAGCACTTCGGTTCAATCAATCGACGGGAAAATCTAAAATTCGATAAAAGTTCAACTGATCAGTTTGTACAAAGAAAAGAATGATGAACACATTCTCAGGATAATAGTACTGAAGTGGTAGAAAGACGAAGACTTGGTATCTCTATATACCTGATCCACGACGCACCATTTGCACAGATCTTCGTGTTCCTTTCACTTCTCCAATGTATCTCCACAACGCTGTATCATTTACCTTCTCTGAAATCAAATCTGTCTCCATGCTGTTTGATATTTTTATGCTGATGGGTGTCTCTTTATATTATTATTATATCCTGTGATTGCTAGAGGAACATATGGCTTCAGCTGCGCACCTCCATTGCCTTCTGTTTTCTGCCAACTTTTTCACCCCGCTCCAAGTCTGCCCACATACTTTCATCTCCTCTTCACATGACCTTCCCCTCCAAGTCACCATCGCACTGACGACCAACTCGCCGCTTCCCTTTCGGCCAGGTTCCACTCAAGCAATGGCTTGTCTGGTGATGTCACTTGATGGTTTTCTCAGCGTATGACCAATCCAATCCACCTCCATTTCTTCCTGCCTATTTGTTTCACAATCGGTTCCTGCTGTGTTGGTTCGCTCATTGCCAGAGATTCCTGTTGCTGATCTTTTCTGGCCAACCATCTGATCTTGAGTAGTACTGAGCGAAGACAGCTGTTAATGAAGGTCTGAAGTTTGTTTGAGATGCTCTTTATGACACGCTGGCCAAGTCTCTGATCCGTATAGTAGCACTGACTTCACATTGGAGTTGAAAATCCGGATCTTATTTTCATTTTCATGCTAAGCGCTCTTGACCTCCACACAGACTTGAGAGTAATGAAAGCTTGTCTTGCTTTTCCGATTCTGGCTTTGATATCCTCGTCAGTGCCGCCTGTAGTTGAAACGATGCTTCCCAGGTAGGTGATTGGGTGAAGGAGGTTGTTTCTTTCAGGTTCCTCCCATTTATGCTGATTGTTGTCTGTTGTTGTTGGTCAGGAATCTTCATCAGCTCTGTTTTATCTATGTTCACCTGGAGTGAAGTCCTATCTCCTCTGGATGCTTCTTCTGCCGATTTGTTGCTTTTCACTTGCATATCTTCCACTTTGTGAGAAATCAGACATATATCATCGGCGAAGTCCAGATCCTCCAAGTTGATTTTGTGTCAGTCCATTTCATGCCTGTTTCATCGCTGCCCGGCCTGCTGTCTGTCGCACTATCCAATCTACTGCAATCAGGAAGGTCACTGGCGATAGTAGTAGACAGCCTTGCCTCACTCCCGTCCTCACTTCGAAGGCTTCCGTAAGTTTCCTGTTGTGGATTACTTGGCATACAGCATTGTCGTATAACTGTGTTGGATGAGTTGTATAATTGTCGATGGCACCCCTTGGTAGTAGCGAAGTACTTGCCAAATGACCTCTGTTTATATACTACTGATAAATCCTATCAGTAGCACTCGCCACACTAAGAGTTCCATTGTATTTCGCGAATTCCTTTCAACTGGCTTAAACCCTAGACAATATAAAACTGTAGGTAGAGAGAGTCACAACATTTCTGAACTTGCCTTTCTTACAGTGACATCGAGTTGTCGATAGAAGGCATAAGCAAGATAATTCCAAAAATAATGTCAGTAGACAAATTATTGAGTTCAGTGATAAGATCGGGTTAACAATATATTTAGTATAATTCGACAAGAGGGAAGTGGTAGGAAGAGTTCAGATGTAGCTTAGAACACAAGGATTTACTAGGGATAGAATACAAGATTGAACAATAAAGTGGATTTATGTTATGTACTCGTCGAGTAGTTAATAGTCCTAACGCGGAAAGAGGGAAATCAGAAGACCACCAGGTTTACGATGATACTTGTATTTTCCAGACAAGGAAAATAAATGTCACACAAGATTCTGAGTGAAATGGTACGTAGTGTACGAAACGTGGGAACAAGTGTACAGTACAAAAGTATATATGAAAATGACTAATACACATGATTCAATAAATAGACAGTCTTAACATGATTGGTTGTAATGTCATGTGACAACAAGGTCATACATGTTTATTTAGTTAGTGGATAGACAAAAGCATATTGTCAGTTATAATGAAATATCGATCCATATACACATAGCAAAATATAATAGACTGTCAACAACAAAACACACACATCATGTGGATACATATCAATTTATTCTAGAGAGTGAATGTGAATAATAAGAGGAAAATTATGATTGAACAATAGTCAGTAATTAGTATAATGTGTGTCTAGTCCAATCTTCGGTGCAGACTGAATTCTATCAGTCAAGCTTGCAATGCAATGTGACCATGATATGTATCCACATATATATATTTATGTGTGTGTGTATGTTGGTCTCTCTTTCTGTTTGCTCGCTTAGTCTGTGACCATTTCACTTGTATGAACTTGTCTCCTTTAACAATGTATATTCTCCTTATATTATATATAATATGAGTGTTTGTTGACAGTCCGTAGCTTAGTGACATATCCATATATGGTGGTTGTTGACATGTCTGTTATATTTCGCTATGTATATGTGGATCGATACTTCATTATAATTAGCCATTCGTGTTAAGACTGTCTAATGATTGTTCACACCCTTGTCATATATATTTCGCTCACACAATTTTGTGAACTACTTTACTTACTTATCACTTTGGTGTGAGGCCATTTATTTCGTCTCCTTGTGTTTGGACAATAGAAGTATCATCGCAAACCTAGTGGTCTTCTGATTTCCGCCTTCTTGCGTCAGGACTATTACATTCTCGACCAGTCCATAACAATAATTTAGCGACGAGTACATAACAGCACCGAAGATAGATAGGACTACACACACACACACACACACACACTACACTAGTTACTGACTAGTGTCCGAGCGAAAATATCCACTACATTTCTACGGGTGGTGGTCAATCGTAAGCATTCTACTCGACTTTTAGAAAAACGATTCATTATCGTGCCTAAACTTTCCCTGTTTGTTTTTCTTTCTTTCTTTCTGTTTTAGACCCTGAAGCTGTTGATATTCGACCTCCAGCTCAGCACTATCCAAATGTATGTGGTATTGTGACTATTATTATTATTATTGTTATTATTACTACTACTTGAAGTTTAATCATCAATTGAATTCAGTTAAAGAACCATTGAAATCCAGAGAGTAATCGACAGATGTTTTGTCGTAGTTTGCGACCCTTCAGTAATACACACACATACATTAGTCCCCTCATGGCTCCAATCTAGGAGTTTGTATGAGATTTAGCCACTGGGATACAGAAACCAATGATTCATCAATTGTAACTTCCTCAATTATACACACGATGTACAGAGTTGTGATGGCCAACCAATCTGATTGGCGATTATCTGGTCCTCACATCCAACTTGGTGGATGGGTGTACGAGGTGAACTTATAAACCTGAAGGTACTGGGTGGGCTGTTTTCCAGGTGGGGAAATGGGTGTGTATAGTGTTGAAGAGTCCTAAAATGAAGACTCTTTGGTTCCCGGTAGTTCTCTGACTGACGTTAGTTTGTGCTGACATTTGCAAATGGTCATCATTACTATTATTACTGTTACATAATAAAATATTTGAGAATTCACACATTTACGCATTTAGAAAATATAAAGAATTGAGTGATGAAATATATTCCTTTCCGCTTAGTTCCTCACCAACGCCTCTACACTTATAAACATGCTTTTACATCAATTTACTCCGAAATTGTAAAATAAGATACAAAAGTCAAAATATTAGTTACACGGATAGAGGCGAATCACATTTGTATGACTCTCTAGATGTACATATTATGTAGATGGCCACGACAAAGAAAGAGGCAACACGAATTCGGCTAGTTAAGATGAATTCTGATTACCTCTCTCGTGTGTAAATTTGATACTTGTAGAGTATGTTGATTATAATTATTACTCCCTTGGGTTTCAAGTGGAACATAGGGCTGGCTTCAACAACATATCTCTACTTGGTTGTATTCCCTAACGTCCTCTTCAGCTAGGTCTACGATTTCCCATAATCACTTATCTTTTCCAACTTACAAGATCTCCTCCATGTCACCCTAAAACAAACCACAAGTCGCTTCCCCATTGAAATTTCACTCGAAGTATTGCCTGGCGCGTGATTTCATTCGAAGGTTTTCTCAATGAATGTCCAATCCATCTCCATTTTGTCCTGCACATTTGTTGGTTCGTTCCCAGAGTCTCTTGTTACTTGTTCTTTCTCACCGTTCGATCTTCAGTATGGGGCCATTGAAGGCCGCTTGTTGATAAAAATCTGCACTGGCCTGCTGGAAATCCTTTTCGTGCCATACAGTGTAAGTTTCTGACGCATATAGAAGAACTGACTTCACATTTGTGTTGAAAATCAGAATCTTGTTGTGTTTGCTGGCTGGCTGGAGTGAAGCAGAAGATTTCCAAACTGGTTTCAGGTTGACGAAGGCGTATCTTACTTTTCCGATTCTTCCTGGCTGGCTGGGCTGGCTTTGAAATCTTCATCCGTTCCGCCTGTAGTTGAAATGAAGCTTCTCATATAAATGAAGGAGATAACCTCTGTCAAATTTCTCCCGTTGATTGTGATTGGTACTGGTTATTGTTGTTGTCGCCGTTGCTGTTCGTTGGTTATCTTCATCATTTCCGTCCTCCGTATGTTCACCTGCAGTCCTGTCCTCACCGCCTCTTCAGCCGGTTTGTTGCTTTTCGCGTGTAAGTAATCGAGTTTTTGCGACTTTAGACATATATGATCTACACGCGAAATCCAGGTCTTCTAGTGTCTTCTTGTCGGTGGTCCAGCGTATTCCCCAGAGTATGCAGTTGGTAGGGTGAAATACAGTGACTAACTGGGAGTGCTGTATAGTTGTCTCGTCCTATTATGGGACTTTTCATCAGTATGCACCCACCGGGGTTCTTGAATAGGCAGGACCTGGAATTCATGGATTGGCCATTGGATTTGTGGCTTCCAATGCTCTGTGTGCTAGCCTTGTACACGGAAGGTCTTGAGTTCGAACCCTAGAGGTGGGCGCATACTGATAGAGTCCCGAACTAAGTTGACTAGACAGTTGTCCAGTACTCCCTGTAGGTTTTCCAATGGTTCTCGAACCGTTGTCAATTTATGGTGAAATCTTGTAACCAATCAATGAATTCCCCGCAAACCAATACTTTAATACGGTGGCCAACTTTATTGAAAGCTTTGTTAATGTCAAGTTAATGTCCTGTACTGAGGAGATGAGTCAGTTGTATTGAACCACCTGTCACTTTACTCAGTGTTGTACCTAACCAAGATAGACAGTGTTCAGAAATTCAACGGGGAACATGCCTAATGGAACACTCAGTATGAACTAGTTCCATATAATCTGTTAAACTGATGAAATTAGGCAGATTTTGTGCTTATTTTGTAAACTACCTGTTCGTTGGCTAGTTAGTTGAATAAACAGTATAACTTAGCTGCATTTAAAGTCTTTTTCAAGGATCTTCTCAAACGTTGTGATGCACTTTCATTGTGTATATCTAGGGTGAATTACACTTTCAAGAACACTGATATTATTTTTTATCAGAACTGTGAGCACCTCGTACTTTGAGCTTGCAAAATCAATGTGTTTATCTTTGAAAATGTAATAATTTCATGAAATGTTTTTTATTTTATTCGCGTGAATCATTAGTAAACTTCGTTAAGTTATATGCTTAAGCTTTATGTATGTCTTAAGCTAAATCCCTCCAAATATCGGGTTGTTGATTTCACTTTCAAACACAAGCGCGATACACATGAACTGATGCCTTCCCATAATTCTCGTATCTCATCTAATAGAAGACACTAAAATTGAAACTGAGTGAAATGTTAAATACCTTCCTTCGATTATATCTTTCCTCTGATGATCATCTTTGCTGGTATTTCTGCATCCTGTTGATTTCCAGAAAGATATTTCCTCGAACCTACTTCTACATAAGGAAGTTAAGACAATCTGGTATCACTCAATCTCTGCATTATTTACAGTTTGTTAATTCTTATATTCTACCCACTCCTCTTTATTGCTTCTCACCACCCTTAGTCTTTCCTGAGCTTCTTAAGAGAGACCTTGTCACATTGTGAAGGACGTCAGCAGAGCGAGTCGGGTATCGCCAAAATCCGACTCGCCAATACTGTTATGGATGCACACATGGATTTATGCTAGAGATTGGCGAATAGCATCTTGTCGAACTCTCAGCATCCTCTCTATACGCAACTCTCCCCTTGCATCTCATTAGGTAGGACTAGAAGTAGTTATAACAGACGACTTTATGGTCGGAGGACTAACCACAGAAACTCTAAGATACCTTATATGGTACATATTGCAAGTGGTGAGGAAAGTGTGAGAAATGTAACTATTGACGTACTGAGTAACACTAAGTAAGTGTCTCCTTCTATTCTTTCTTTCTTTCATTGATTAATTAATATATTACTGTTAATATTTCCATATAAATTTCAATTCTACATTCATATTTATACTGAACAATACAATAAATGTAAATGGTCTATTAATTACTTCCGTTCTTGTTGTATAACGTAAAAAGCAAATTCATTGCGCAGTTATGCTACATGCTGGAAATCCCATATTGCATCAAACATATTCTCTTGGATTAATGTCATTATTATAATTATTGTCATTTCAAAAGCCAAAGGCCTCATCTTCTTCTATGCTACTGGACCGACACAACAGACGCCTCTTGTGTGCAATAAGAGTATCAAGAGTAGTTTATTGAACCTATTTCCAATTCCCCAGTCGATTGATTTCACTGTTTCAAGTGTGCGTAGGAACTCCATCACTTACCTCATTGAAGATACATCCAGTTGAGGACTTTCAACAAGGGACGAAACACGTGTCACGGAAACCCACCATTCATAAAAAAAGGCATTCAGTTAATTTCAAGGTATTGTAGAAATGTATATATCATCAAGACAGGATATAAAGACAGGTACAGTTTAACTGTGGAAACAGGTAACATAATTCAGGAACGAAGGCCACTATTCAGTTTAGATGAAAGAATTAGTCATTTATAGAAATTTTCATGGAGATTAATGGAATTTCAGAGTGATCATCCCCCACGTCTGGTTATTCGCAGTCGTCTTGGAGTCAATGTGTCTGTCGGGGGGGGGGGTGTAAATCTCACACGGTCTACTTTATTAGCCTAAGAGACTGATTAAACCAACCTAATGAATCGTCAGACCTTACGTGTGTTTTATTATTATTCCCGTGGGTTCTGAGTGGGGGGGGATATAGGGCTTCTCTTTTCTCCTGTCCTCTTCAGCTGGATCCAAGATTGACCAAACTCTTTTATCTCTTCCTCACACGATCTCCTCCACATGACCCTAGGACGAGTCATTTGCCGCTCCCCGTTGGGATTTCACTTAAGGGCCTGGTGTGCGATGTGATTCGGCGGCCTGCTCAATGTGTACCCGATCCATATCCATTTTCCACACATATTTATTGAGCGATCGGCTCTTGCCTGTTGGTTTATTCACTGCCAGAGTTTTCTGTTGCTAATTCATGCTGACTGGTTGGTCATTTGATCTTCACTATGGGGCTAGCGAAGACAGCTGTTGATGATGTTGATGTCTCCAACAGACTGTTGGAATACCTTTTCGTGAAATGCAGTTCAAGTTTCTGACGCATATATAGAAGGATCCACATGGCACTGGTGTTGAAAATTCCAGTCTTGTTCTTTGTGCTGACTGAGTGCAGTTCAGAAGATTTCCAAACTGATTTTCAGATTGATGAAGGCGTATCTTGCCTTTCCGATTCTGACTGGCTGGCTATCTTTGACGTCTTCATCCGTTCCGACTATCTGTGTTTGAAACGATGATTCCCAGATAAGTGAAGGTAGTAAGTAATCTATGTTAAATCTCTCCCGTTATTGGTGATTGGTACTGGTTGTTGTTGTTGGTGTTGTTGTTGGGTGGTTGTTTGGTTATCTTCACCTCCGTCTTCTTTATCTGCCTCTTCAGGCAGTTTGTTGGTTTTCGCCTGCCTGTAAGTCTTTGAGTTTGTGTGACACTAGACATATATCGTCTACTCACGAA